GCCCTGCTTCAGCTCTCGCTGGTTGGGCTGCACCCATTGACTAGCACCGACTGTCCGACACACCCCAGTGAGATGAACCCAGTACCTCAGTTGAAAATGCAGAAATCATCCGTCTTCTGTGTCACTCACACTGGGAGCTGGAGGCTGGAGCTGTTCCTATTCAGCCATCTTGGGCGCCCCCCCACCTTTTAACTTCTATACCAGAATTAAAAGTGATTTACATACCACCATTACAGTATTACAGTGTTCTGTATTTTCCAGTATCTTTATCTTTACTAGTGAGCTTTATACTTTCATATGCTGTCTAGTGGCCTTTCGTTTCAAATAGAAGGGTTCCCTTTAGTATATCTTGTAAGGTAGGTCTAGTGGTGATGAACTTCCTCAGCTTTTGTTTATCTAGCAAAATCTTTAGTTTTCTTTCATTTTCAAAGGACAGTTTTTCCAAATATAGTATTCTTGATTAGCAGGGGTTTTTTTCCCAGCCCTTTGAATATATAATCTTACTCTTTCCTGTACTACAAGATATCTACTGAGAAATCTACTGGTAGTCTTATGGAAGCTCCCTTATATGTGATGAGACTCTATTCTCTTTCTGCTTTCAAATTTATCTCTGTCTTTGACTTTTGACAATTTGATTATAATGTGTCTTGATAAGGACTTTTTTGGGTTTATCTTAGTTCAAGTCCGTTAGACTTCTTGAATGTGGATAGACATTTCCCTCCCCACATTTGAGAAGTTTTTGGCCATTATTTCTTTAAAAACTTTCTATCCTTTTTTCCCAGCCTTCTTTTGAGACTCCCATAATGCATATATTGGTCTGCTTGATGGTGTTCCATAAGTCTCTTAGGCTTTCTTTACTCTCTCTCATTCTTTTTTTTTTTTTTGCTCCTTTGACTGGATAATTTCAAATGTTGTATCTTCAAGCTCACTGATCTTTTCCTGTTGAACTCTTCTAGTGAGTTTTTTCAGTTCAGTTATTGTATTCTTCAGCTCCAAAATTTGTTTGGTTCTTTTTCATATTTTCTATATCTTTTTTGATATTCTCATTTTGTTCATACATCCTTCTCTTGGGCTTGTAGAACATCCCAGGAGCCTTTCAAAGATATAGATTCCCAGACCTTACTGGCAGAGATTCTGATTCAGTAGGTATAGTGTTGGGGCCTTAAAAGCTGTATTTTCTTTTTCTTTTTCTTTCTTTATTTATTTATTGAGACAGAATCTCACTCTTGTCGCCCAGGCTGGACTGCAATAGCGCAAGCTCAGCTCACTGGAACCTCCACCTCCCAGGTTCAAGTGATTCTCCTCCCTCAGCTCCCTGAGTAGCCGGGATTACAGGCAGCCACCACCATGCCCAGCTAATTTTTGTATTTTTAGTAGAGATGGGATTTCACCATGTTGGCCAGGTTGGTCTTGAACTATTGGCCTCAGGTGATCCACCCAGCTCGGCCTCCCAAAGTGCTGGGATTACAGGCGTGAGTCACCATGCTAAAAGCTATGTTTCTTAAAGATCCTCCAAATGGTTCAGATATACATCCAGGTTTGGAAATCACTTCCAGTAAAAAGACCACCTTCAATCTCTCCCCCTTCCCTTATATGAGCTCTAGGGAAGTGGGGAGGTCTAGACTTATATAAAGTTTTGTTTTATTTTGTTTTGTTTTTTGAAATGGAGTCTTGCTCTGTCACCAGGCTGGAGTGCAGTGGCGCGATCTCAGCTCACTGCAACCTCCGCCTCCTGAGTTCAAGCGATTCCCCTCCCTCAGCCTCCTGAGTAGCTGGGACTACAGGCACGCGCCACCATGCCTGGCTAATTTTTTTTGTATTTTAGTAGAGATGGGGTTTCACCATGTTGACCAGGATGGTCTCTATCTCCTGACCTCATGATCCACCTGCCTTGGCCTCCCAAAGTGCTGGGATCACAGGCATGAGCCACTGTGCCCAGCCATAAAGTTTTTAAATATAAGCTTCTGGGAAGTGAATAGATAATGGATAGAATATGCAGACAGAAAATCAGTAAAGAAACAGAGAACTTGAACAACACTATAGACCAAATGGACCTTACAGCCATATATGCAGAACATTCCACCCAACGGCAGCACAATACACATTCTCCTCAAGTGCACATGGAACATTCTTTAGGATGGATCTCATGCTAGGTTACAAAGCAAATCTCATCTCTCCAAGGTGCCATTTTCTGCTTAGTAGTATTCATTTTCTCTGTATCATTTGAAGGTTCTTACAATCCTCCTACCTCCAGGCAGCCTTTCTGGATTAAATCCTGGCTGACCACGAGTTTCTTAAGACTTTCCCCAACCCTTCTGACCCCAAAATGTGGATATGCTTTCCATTTATGTATTAATTTGGTATTTCCATTCTGTTGGCTTGCTATCTGAGTCTCAGGCCACTGCTCCGTAGAGAGCTTCTGGACTAGGTCTGCCCTAACTGCCTCATTATTATTTGATGACAATGATAGTGAGTGTAGCAGGGATGGAATTCTGGAGGCCTAGGTTCAAGTCTCTGTTCTTCTAGAGTATAAACTTGGATAAATTGTGTTCCCTCTCTGAACCTCAGTTTCCTCATCTGTGAAGTGAGGGGTATATATACAGTCTCTGCAATCCTCCTCTAAAGCCTCTGACTTTCTCTTTCGTCCTCTTGTTCACTGGTATAGCTGAGAAAGTGGAATTCCAGAGACACTCCTGAAATTGTCCTAAGTTAAAGGAGCCAGTGTGCCAGCTCCCTCTCTGCCATCGCCTCTGAGAGCAGCCATGGCCCTGAGTGATGTCGATGTGAAAAAGCAGATTAAGCACATGATGGCTTTCATTGAGCAGGAAGCCAATGAGAAAGCAGAGGAAATCGATGCCAAGGCTGAGGAAGAGTTTAACATTGAGAAAGGACGCCTTGTGCAAACCCAGCGACTGAAGATTATGGAGTATTATGAGAAAAAGGAGAAGCAGATAGAGCAGCAGAAGAAAATCCAGATGTCCACCATGAGGAATCAGGCAAGGCTGAAAGTCCTGAGAGCCCGAGATGACCTCATCTCGGATTTGCTCAGTGAGGCGAAGCTGAGACTCAGCCGGATTGTGGAGAACCCAGAGGTCTATCAGGGGCTTCTGGATAAACTGGTGCTCCAGGGTCTGCTCCGACTGCTGGAACCTGTGATGATTGTGCGCTGCCGGCCACAGGACCTCCTCCTGGTGGAGGCTGCTGTGCAAAAAGCCATCCCCGAATACATGACAATTTCCCAAAAACATGTGGAGGTCCAGATTGATCAAGAGGCATACCTGGCTGTGAATGCAGCTGGAGGTGTGGAGGTCTACAGTGGCAATCAGAGAATAAAGGTTTCAAATACCTTGGAAAGCCGACTGGATCTCTCAGCGAAGGAAAAGATGCCAGAAATACGAATGGCCTTGTTTGGTGCTAACGCCAATAGAAAGTTCTTTATATAAGCCTCTGGGAAGTGAAGCTAGTGTTGAACCACTAAACCACGAAAGTTTAAGTTTTGGGGGGAAAAGAAACTAGTAGTGTTTCCTCCTCTTTGATGCTCTGATATTGTTCTGTTTTTCTTCATGAAATACCCCTTGGATGGCTAAAGTGTTAACTTTGAAATAAAGCCCAAATTAATGCTCAGAATTCAAATTCCAATTCATCCATCCATGCCACAGCTTCTGGTCCATTCTGCAGTCTGGGATGAAGGGAGTGATGACATCTGCTCTTCAGCTTGGCCTCAGGTGGTGAATGTGTGAGATGTGAATAGTGTTCTTGGCCTGTGGATCTGGGTGCTCTAGTTTAATATGCATATGAAGTGTGTTTTTCTTCCTTTGTTTCAGCTTCAGTACCCAAACTGATGTTATTTAATGAGGTCTAGAGGTTTTCCTCACATGTCCAGAATCAACTTAATGGGCATCCAACCAGCACAGTCACACAGGGACCCATGCTCCGAAGGGCCCAGCACCTGGGGTTTAGTGATCTGTATTTGCTGCCCTGAAATTCCTAATTTCATCTTTGAACGTGTGTTTTGTAAGTGACATTGATGGAACATTGGGGCATGTGCCAGGGGTTTGGAGCCTTGGCTCACGCATGGTACTGACTCCCAAAGTCTACCTACCTTCTTTGGATGGGTTGTTGGCTAACCATTACCCAGTCCTCTGGTGCCCTGAGGCCCAGCCTTCCTCCACCTCACCCAGTGAGCATTGCTTCCCTCGGCCCCTGGCGGGGGCCTGGTGTACATGCAGGGAGGGTCAGAATGGGGTTTCATGCTCTGTGGAGTTTCAGGGCCAGAAATCCCTGCCCAAGGCTGGCAGCTCCGTGGCATATTCAGTAGACAACTTGGCGGAAGGGGTGAGTCTCTTACCCACCAGATACTGAGCCCGTCCTGGTGTAGAGGTTTAAAGACCCTAGGAGTTACTGTCCGCTATAGGGCAGCCTGCCCACTGGAAGGAGAGATGCCAGCTCAGCTTCCCTGATCCTGACCCAGGCCCACACTGGTGGCTAGTGGGAAGGGGGACCCAACCACTGCCAAACTTGCTGCACCAGAGTCTTAGGGCAGGACCCTCAGGAGCTTGTAAATGTCTGCACTTGGCCTGCAAAGTATCCCTGTGCCTGGCAGCATCCTCCCTTGGACAGTTCAGTGCCTGGGGGAACTTGGATGCATCTTTTCTGGCCAGTGTGAGGCACTTTCTGGGAGGAGCCAAGAAATACAGATTATATAATTTTTGTGACTTGGCATGTAGGCATTGCACAATAGAAAAGTAAATGGTAGAATTCATGCTAATAATTTAAACTTGAAATGGTAGAATTCATGCTAATAATTTAAATTTTCTTCACTTAAAAAGACATTAAATAGCAAATAAACACTATGAAAAGTCAAGAAGAGACTACAGAAGAAAGAAAAAAGCTTTATACTTTAGTGCCGTTCATGGCACTTCTTTCCTGCTTTTTGAACAAAGAATCTTACCTTTTCTTTCTTTTTCTTCTTTCTTCTTCCTTCTTCCTTTTCCCTTCTTCCTTCTTTCTTCTTCTTCTTCTTTCTTCCTTTCTTCTTCTTCTGTCTTCTTCTCCTTCTCCTTCTCTTTCTCCTTCTTCTTCTTCTTTTTTGAGATGGAGCTTTTCTCCTGTTGCCCAGGCTAGAGTGCAATGGCACAATAGTGGCTCACTGCAAACTCCGCCTTTTGGGTTCAAGTGATTCTCCTGCCTCAGCCTTACAGGCTCATGCCACTATACCCGGCTAATTTTGTATTTTCAATAGACACGGGGTTTCACTATATTGGCCAGGCTGGTCTCGAACTCCTGACCTCAGGTGATCCACCTGCCTCGCCTCCCAAAGTGTGGAATTACAGGCGTAAGCCACCGTGCCTAGCCAGATCTCACATTTTCATTTTGCACTGGGCTCTGCAGATTACATAGCGGGTTCTGCATACATATGTGTGATTTAAGGTCTAGTCCATACCTGATGTTGCTTTATTTATTAAAATAGAATTTTTTTGAAGAAAAAAAATCCCAAGATGCTCTGCTGAGGGCAAAGGTTGGCCTGTGTGGTTAGGACTCTGCAAGGAACAGAAACTTCATGAAACTCAAACACAAAGTAAGGGACAGGCTACTAGTACGTGGGGGTGTCTCACAGAATCCAGAACAGAAATCCTTTGTGATCTCAGGAGAGGGCTGGAACTGGGACTCAGAAAGCCATCTGAAATCCTTTATGTGGCCATTTTTCTTTCTTTAAGGAGTGACTTTCTCTGTTGCCCAGTTTAAATGGTAGAGTATGCATGCCCCACCATTCCAAAGTTGACATGTTATAGTTCCAGAAACAAACTTGCTTCTCTTGAAGTCCATTCCACTTTCCCAGAGGGAATCTATTTGGCCAAACTGGGGTCAGGTGTCTATCTATGGTCCAGTTGGTGTCTGGGGCAGTTCCCAGAGTAAGAAGGGTCTTTGTTAGCTGGACAGACTCCCCACAGGGTGTCTTCTCTGTGGGCCCTTTTGAGTTTCAAATTTAGTCATTCAATGAGAATTTTTTTTTTTTTTTTTTTTTTTTGAGATGGAGTCTAGCTCTGTCGCCCAGGCTGTAGTGTAATGCCACAATCTTGGCTCACTGCAACCTCCGCCTTCTGGGTTCAAGCGATTCTCCTGCCTCAGCCTCCCAAGTAGCTGGGACTACAGGCACATGCCACCATGCCTGGCTAATTTTTTATATTTTTTTGTAGACACGGGGTTTCACTATATTGGCCAGGCTGGTCTCGAACTCCTGACCTCAGGTGATCCACCTGCCTCGCCTCCCAAAGTGTGGAATTACAGGCGTAAGCCACCGTGCCTAGCCAGATCTCACATTTTCATTTTGCACTGGGCTCTGCAGATTACATAGCGGGTTCTGCATACATATGTGTGATTTAAGGTCTAGTCCATACCTGATGTTGCTTTATTTATTAAAATAGAATTTTTTTGAAGAAAAAAAATCCCAAGATGCTCTGCTGAGGGCAAAGGTTGGCCTGTGTGGTTAGGACTCTGCAAGGAACAGAAACTTCATGAAACTCAAACACAAAGTAAGGGACAGGCTACTAGTACGTGGGGGTGTCTCACAGAATCCAGAACAG